AGATCATGCCAGTCTTATTTCATTCTTCGATAAAATGACTAAACTAATAGACCAGCGAAATATTGTGGCCATAGTGTACTTAGACTTCATTAAGGCATTTCATAATGCCTATATTTACTTAACTCTGAAATCTCTGCACATTATTGGGAATTGTGGATTTGTCAAAAGATGTTGAAAATACTCTTCCAAAAATATTATATTTCAAGTAGAGCAGGGGTGTCAAACTCAATTTCATTGAGGGCCGAATCAGCATTGCGGTTGCCCTTGGGGGGCCGGGTGGGTATGGCCAGGGTTGGTGGGCGTGGATGGAGTGGGTGTGGCCTACTGGGTGGGCATGGCCAGCTCTACATCGTTTGCTTCAAGGGTGCCTGTGGGAGCCTGGGTAGGAGTGCGACAGATCTGAGGGTCTGGCAGAAGAGGGTGGGACCAGGGCAAGCGCCAAGGCATGGTGCATTTCTTCATTCCTCACAAAGGGTGACACCTCTCCAGCATGCACCTAGGGGGCGGGGCCAACGCAGCAGGGGCTGGTTCCTTGCTATTTCTGGACAGCCTTTTGGAGCCAAGACTGAATGCATTTCAGCATAGATGGCCACTACAAAATTGTACATTGGCTCCCGGCCGGCCTGGGCGAGGGCCAAGGCAGCGGGGACCGTTCCCTCACTGTTTCCAGGATGGCTTCGCGGGCCACATCCGGCACTCGGGGCCTTGTGTTTGACATGTCCGAAGTAGAGGCAATATTACTAGGATTGGGAAGTTCTACAAGTTTATTGAACTGTGTCATCATATAATTCAGCACTTTTATAAGGCAATATTAACATATAAGCAATTTCAATGCCTCCAATAGAAGAGAATTATCTGTAGCTCAGGGTTGAACTCTGGAGTCCTTGTTGTTCTGAGCTTGGTTGTTTGCTGGTAGACGTTTCATTACCCAAATTGATTACGATGATACCTATTTGGGTAATGAAACGACTGCAGGCAAACAACCAAGCTCAGAGAGCAACAAAAACTCTGCAATTGCAATGTTTTCTTCTAATTCTTTTAAAAGAGTATCACCTAGCAACCTTGCCTCTTTTTATGTAGGCTTCGTTAAATTGTTTGCAAAAAAGCTGTTTGCAACTTCGACATAAGCATTATGGCTTATTATCCGTCTCTTTCCCCCACACCCGTTTAATGGGAAACTTTGAATCTCTGAGCCAAACGTAAAAACACAGAAATCGGGAATTGCTGCTTATTAGTTGCCCTCTAGCGGCAAAAGGAAACAACGCTTTTGAAACCACCCCCTTCTGAGAAGGAGGGGAAATTGGGGTTCGCCGTTCTTCTGTTCCCAAAACAGCCAAGAGAGGAAATGTCTGCTCAGCCAGTAAAGCGAGAGCGCTTCAGGAATGAGCAGCCCTGAGGGCAGGGAGGCTCTTCTGAGAAAAGCTTGACCTTTGCTTCGCAAGTCTCTCCTTCAAGATACGAAGGGGCGACAGCTTCCCGCCCTGCTCGCTGGTGGAGAGCTGGTCACGTGACAGCCGTCTGGAATCAATGAGCGCCGCATTCCCCGCTGGAAAGGCGGGCAGTGGCTGGTGCTTTTCTTCCTCAACTAGTTTTCCAGGCGTTTTAGTGCCTCTGCAAAATGGTTTCAGGCAGAGAATTCACCAGAACTGCTCATCTCCCCCATCCCCCCCCCAACTTAAACTTAAAGCAGTATCTGCCTTTTCCTCACACTCCTTCAGTTTGTAAAAGACAATCTGTCCTTCAATGGACAGGTAGGAAAGTATGTTTTCATAGCATGCGAAGGAGCACTTTTAAGTCGAAAAAGACAAGACAGATGATCTGTGAATATAGACCACGCATTGTGCTTGGCCTTCACTGTTCATACTGGACATCTACCCCCAAAATATTTTGATTCTCATATTTTGCTATTCTCAGTTTTCTAAGTATGGTTCTTAAACTGACTATCCTTTTCTTGGGCTCCGATAATGTTACTCCCACAAAAAAAGCAAAAAGAACTTTGTTTTACACCAGTGTCTGGGCAGTGGCAGCCTCAAACTGGATTCTTGATTCACAAATAAAGCAATTGCAAATTGCTCCAGGATATGTCCAGTTTACCTTCTTGCGAGAAATTATCCCAGCTTAAGAATCATTGTGCTAAGCCATAATGTAGTTGTTGTTGTTGACTTCATGTGTTTTGTGAAATCAAGCTGTTAAGGTATTGTAGAAGTAGATAAATTGCAATGTAGAATATAGTATTACAGGTTGATTCTGGCCACAGCCGAGTTCAATCCTGATGGGGCTTAAGGTTGACTCAGTCTCCCATCCTTCAGAGGTCAGTAAAATGAGGATCCAGATTGCTTGGGAGCAATACGCTGACTCTAAATTGCTTAGAGAGGGTTGTAAAGCACTATAAGTCTAAGTGCTAGTGCTATCCACTGTAGAATGTATGAACTATATTCATATTTAGGATGTGCTTCTAATAATAGGTTGAGAAAATAGTACCTCAATTCAGATGCAATCAGAATAAGAGTGTATCCTAGTGATCTTAAGGTGCCAACACCACAAAAATCTAATTCTGCCATTGATTGAGAGATTTACTGTACTATGGACAAAATCTGAGTCACTTCTTAGCATTCTATGAATCAAAGGCAAACCTCTACAGGTGGACCATGATGTGTAGGAGCGATAGGAATTACAAGCCCAGTGTATCTGAAAGACCCTGATTGGAGAAATCTGTATTAGGGATGCACGTTTCCCTACAACAGAGAGAAGGATATAAATAATATATAAAATAAATATCAGAACGTGGGTGGAAGGAGCCCAAGAAAAACAGCAGTAGGGCATAGTTAATTGGTACACTTAAAACAAACAATAAAAAGGCCACAATTTCTGTCCTACCCTATACTGAGATGCGGCAACATTCCTCTGTTGAAACTCTTGTTACACATTTGTAATAAACTTTATCATTGTTTTCTTTTGGTTTACCAAAGATGCTTAAAGCTAGATTGGTTGATTGATAAAATTTATGGCTGCCCATCTTACCAAAGGGTAACTCTTGGGCAGCTTACAGTCATTAAAAATGTATCTATACATGTACATTAAAGCATAAAATCTTTTTTTTTTCATTTTGGCACATTCCCCTCCATTCCCAGATTTACCCAACTGGCTTGTAACAGTGGCAGCACATAATGATGAGGCGTAGCTGTAACTCATATTCTTGACTCCCACTTTGGGAAAGGAGGTGGATATGAATATTTAAACAGGAGTCCCCAATATATATAAATTTGTTTCTACCCATATTATCCTTCACCCATTAATATCCAGGAATACAAAGGAAACCCTTTTGTCCCCTGTGCAAGCTTGGCATTTTCTTTCTAATGCATGGCTCAGAGGCTCATGGAAACTAATTGAAAAATATGCCAGAGCATGCATTTGGAGCAGATGCTCAGGGTACTATACAATCTGCCAGATTTCTGACCTGGCTATCTGCCCAGGGGAACGACATTATGCGCACCATCATGTGCCCCATGATCTTTGTGCAAAATCAGACAGCTCACAGAGCCAGTTTAGAAAGAAACACACTACTCTGCTTCTGAGAAGAACTGAAAATGAGAAGTGTGACTGCAGCAGTCCAGCAAGAATAAAAGAGCTCTTATATTTGGCCAACATATTAAAATTAGAGCGAAAACCATCTTCCTATTCTGACAAAGAAGAAACTTTCAGAGACTCTTCCATTTGGAATCCACAGAATCAATATTTTTACTGTAAATAATTCATCATCAGATACATTGGTCAGCGGGGAAAAAAAGAGGGGAACATGGCTGTTCTCAGAACTTGAAGTGTCTGCAGGGAGGAGGCAGACAAGCAGTGTCACAGCCATCAACCATTGCAAATTATATAAATTTGCATCAGTCACATCAGGATGCAAATATACAATGAATGATTTACATCTTTTGGACGATCTTGACATTTGCTATGTTGGTACCTGTACTTGGTACCTGTAACTTTGTCAATGTTTATTTACAGGCAGTTTTTGATTTACAACCCACAACTGAGCCAAACATTTCTCTTACTAAGCTGGACAGTTGTTAAGTGATTTTTGCCCCATTTTATGACCTTTCTTGCCAGTTAAATGAATCACTGCAGTTGTTTAGTAAGGTAATTGTTAAGTGAATTTGGCTTCCCCATTGACTTTGCTTGTAGAAGGGTGCAAAAGGGGATCACATGTCCCTGGGACACTGCAACTATCATAAATATGAGTCAGTTGCCAAGCATTTGAATTTTGATCACATGACCATGGGGATGCTGCAACGATCATGTAAAAAATGGTCATAATTCACTTTTTTCAGTGCCATTGTGATTTTGGTCACTAAATGAACTGTTGTAAGTCGAAGATTACCTGTATTTATATCCCACCTTTATTATTTTTATAAATTACTCACGGCAGCAAACTTCCTCCTATATTCTCAAGAAGAGCCCTGTAAAGTAGGCTGGTTTGAGAAAGATTGACTGGCCCAAACTCACTCAGACAGTTTTTATGGCTAAAGTGCAGTTAAAACTCACAATCTACTCATTTCTAGTCTGGAGCGTTAACCACTAGACCATACTAGCTCTAATGTTTGGTGCTGGGATAGGAACTGGCACAGAATAGCATTCAATTGCAAGGCACTCTTTCAAAATTACTGGGAAAAAGCAAGCAAACATTTTAAGTATGGTGTACTTGTTCTCAGGAGTTGGAAAGAGGGATGAAGGAGATCCATGTTTAAGTCCACCCATGAAGGTTTCTAGATGTTTTGAGGCAAACTGCTGTATTTTGGTTTTGATTTTCTGGAAGATAGAGAGCTTTGAACATTGTCTTTAGTTTCCAGAGGAAAATATTTTGATAGATTATGTAAATATTGTCAGTAAAGCATACTCAAATAATGAGCAATATAGTGCTATAACTTTATGAATGATATAAAGGTCACATGAGTTGAATACTGTATTAGTTTTTTTTTTAAAAAAAGCATGAGAAAGTCTGGTTTTGTTTTGATGTTTTTTATTCAAAAGTTTTCAAAAGAAATAAAACAGAAAAAAGCTAACAATCTAATCAAATTTACAGTTCAAAAATGTCTTTTGGCATTTAACAACAAGTCCTAGGAAACAAAATGACAGAGTTATCTTGAACCGGACAAATAAGTTACCACTGGCAAGTTTGTGGCACTAGTAAAACAAAAATAAAAAATTAACTCTCTTGATCATATAGATATCTCTATGAAAATCTTTTTTTTCAATCTGTACAAAAGGTCTTTCTTCATAAATTATTTTTTTATAATTTAATGGCTGTCTACTATGTGATGTTTAAGTAATCGATTATTTTTTTTTTATGTACAGAGGATACATTTTGCAAATCTTACGCAGATAGTGAGTATGGCACTTAGTTCAGCTTTTCCAGCAGCATCTATTCCTTCCTCTAACCCAGTATTTCTCAAACTTGGCAACTTTAAAGTGTGTGGACTTCAACTCCCAGAATCCCACATCCAGTTATGACTGGGGAATTCTGAGAGTTAAAGTCCACACATCTTAAAGTTGCCAAGTTTGAGAAACACTGTTTTAACCCAATGTTTAACTAATTGAAAGAGAAGATCAAGTAGAAATAACTCTTCTTCTTTTTCTGGAAACATGCCACCTCCAAGGAAAAAGATGCAAGGAAGCTGAACTCTGACAAAGCAGTCAATTCAAGGGAGCATAGAACCAATAATACCACAACTTTTTTTCTTTAAAAAAATAAAAAAAATAGAAAACAAAAACAGAACATATTTCTTATGTCTATGTAATTTATCAGAATCTACACTTCTCAGAGCAGCATTGACTTTTGAAACTATGAAATGTCACTGACATCTGTACTTGAATACTCACATAAAATTTAAAAACTAAAAAGGAAAACAAAAAGTGAAAAGAAAGAATTGCTTAGGCCTAGCTCCTGAGCTAGGATGATTTGGTCTGTGGTAACAGGGAGGGCCAGCAACCTGTCCCATTAGTAAAAGAAATAAGCCTTGAGGTAGATAACTGATCATACACAGTTGACCAGACAAGTACACAGTTTTGGAAGACAACTTAATTTACACATGCGATCATAATAAAAACGAGCTTTTAAGAGCAGTGAGTTTTATCTAATACATTAAAAAGTACAAATAACAGTGTATTTGTGAAATCAGGAATTTCATAGTTTCAAAATTATTTTTTCTTCTTCTTTTCTTTACAATGAACACTTGTAGTGATGATATAAAGCGTGGCACTGCTTGGATCCAAGTCTTCCTTCATGCTTTTTGTTTGTTTGTTTGTGTCCATACATCAATTAAAAATTATAAAACCTAAATGCAAATGTACAAAAAAAGGCACATTCTTCTAACCGCAAACTGGTCCGGCAAAAAGAAAAAAATAATAATAAAAAATAAAAGAGTACAGAAGACATAACTGCTGAGACAATTCAGAATTATTGGTTACTGGCTCTTTTGTTCTTTGGTAAAGTTACCTTTAAAAAGTGCCAAGTCTTTATTTACCTAATATAGAGAGCGAGTACCCAATCTCATTCATTTTCTACTTAAATCTCAGCTTATATTTTGAAAAAAGTCTTTTAGCTTTTGCCTTTGCTGTAAAAGCAAATGCTTCTATTTGCTAGGTCTCAGTACAGCATTGTTCTTAAGCATTATCATTACTAGAAAGGACAGAAACATTCGGCATGATTCCCTACCCCCCAAACTCCCCCACCCTACAACTAAAACATAATTAGCTTCTGGAAAAAAAGGCAAAAAGTTTTTTTTTTTTTTTTACATTGCATCATACAGCAGAGTTCCTAACTAGCAGAGGAAAATTAATTGGCATAAGGCCTTACAAACGATTTATTCTATTAAAATTTCCCCAGTCAGAAAAATGTGTTTCACACAAAACATTTCCCTATTCCCCAATCTTGCATTTCACAACCTTACATTATTATGTGAGGAAAAAAATCATTAAAAACACTTACTACACATTTTTAAAAAGCCAGATTTTTCAGCAATTTTTATCGACTACCTCTTAAAAGCCCTATCCTGCTGTTTTACAAGGCATAATAGACCAGCTTTGGTCAAAAGCATTCTACACCATTAGTTTGGACTACGTACTGAAACAGCTACAGCATTAAAAGAGTTAAGGCAAATTGGAATTGATAGAAAAAAGATGAGACACTTCAGACTACTTTTAAAGGAAAAAACAAAACAAAACAGAAAGCTATGAAAACAGACCCTACAATTGCAACACTGCACTAGAGCAAGACTCACACAGCAAGCACAGAACATCAGCATGGATGTTTTACTAATTTAAACTTCAAAAAAAAAATTATACATTTTTAAAAAAGTTAAAACAAAATAAAAATAAACCAAGACACGGATTTTGTCATGCACATGGATGTGTCTCCATTTTGAGCTGTGCGTGACCGGAATTATTTTTAAGATTTTTTTTTCTTTTTTGTTTTTCTTTTTTTTTTTTGCGTCATTAACACTCGATAAAAAATTTCTTACTAAAATAAACCTGTTCGGGGGGGAGGGGGGAGGGAACAGCTACTAGAATGAATTTTAAGATCTTTTTTTTCTTTTTCTTTATGCACCTTATAGAACTTATAGCAAAAATAGTTTCAGTTGATTTCATTATAAATAACGTTTTCAAGAACCTGTGCAAAACTGTCAATAATTTCTAAAGCACAATTGATCAGTAAAATCCATGATTGTTTCAGCCTTTGCATCCTTCTCTAGGCAAGGTCACCACCAACGTATCTGAAAAAAAAAAGGTAAAAATACATTTCATTCCCAAATACCAAATTCCTAATATCTAGCCTGCTGTAGGAATTTACTGAGGTTATAAATGTAAAAGGAGAAAGTAATCTGTGCAGAGCTTAGCTGATACCGTTCCTACAGGTATGTATGAATGAAGGGCAATGAATGCACTATTATTTATTTGAAGAGAATATATCAGTTTAAACAAGGACTGGTTACTGGTTTACAAAGTGCACCTGTGAAGTGACATGAAATGCCCCAAAGGGACATGATGCTTCTGGGGTGATTTCCCTGGCTTATTTTCCATTTCTTTTTGAGCCATTTCCAGGCTTTCATAACACATTTCACACAGACAAGAATGGCTAAAAAAAGAATTCCCAAATTGGTGAAACAAACCATGGTTTATTACATTATGTCTGCATGCATGTAATCTACATTTGATGTTAAAATTTCTAAGCAGATATGAGAACTAGTAACAGTATTTCATATTATTACATTGACAGAACAGAAGCATTGAGCTTCTTTTTCCCAAATATGTATACAGATAGTTATCCCACTTTCAGGTAGAGGGTAAGGTATCTTGCAGAATTAAAGCATAATACTTAGATGTATTTTCCTAAATATTAATTGGAAGGCAAGTTAAAAATCCAAGGAAATTCTCAAATTCAAATATCAAGATATGGGTTTATAAGAATAGGTCTCTATTATAGATATTCTAGAAGTTGGTATCCTAAGCAACTTAATGAAAATTTGCTATAACAAATGTATTTTTCTATAATCAACAGAAGGAAACTTCCTTCACAATTTCATGGTTGTAGCAGACAACTTTTGTTATTTTATTGTAGGAACTGAGAAAACATTCAGGGTACCAAATTCACCACTATTTCACACTGGCTTCATAAAATTATTAGCAGAGTCTGTATTTCTTTTTATTTTGGGATGAGAAAATATTCTGTACATGTCTGAAGAAATATGATAACAATTTTACCTCACAATTACTTGTTTTGTTGATAAGTGTATGGAGAATGATCACTGGATGTTTCTACTGTAACTTGCTGCTGACCACTGGCTTCCTGTTAAAAAAAAATCACCAGCTATAGTATGAAAGGTGTTCTAATTATTTCTTCAAATTGAGTTATGGAGCAAATTTTATAAAAAAATATATCAAGACAGTTTCTAAAATTTGTGACATCAGATACAGATAGTCTTCGACTTACAGCAGTTCATTTAATGGCCCTTCAAAGTTACAACGACACTGAAAAGTGACTTATGACTGTTTTTCACATTTATGACCATTACAGCATCCCCGTGGTCATTTGATCAAAATTCAGATCAACTGACTCATATTTATAATGGTTGCAGTGTCTCGATGACGTGATCACCTTTTGGGACTTTCTGACAAGCAAAGTCAATGAGTAAGCCAGATTCAGTTAACAACTGTGTTACTAATTTAACAATTGCAGAGATTCACTTAACAACTGTACCAAGAAGGGTCGTAAAATGGGGCAAAACTCACTTAACAAATGTCTTGCATACCAACTGAAATTTTGGGCTCAAAATTGTGGTTGTAAGTTGAGGACTACCTATAGTATTACCATGTTTTCCCGAAAGTAAGCCCTACCCCCAAAATAAACCCTAGATTGACTTTTGGTGGTGGGCCTAATATAAGCCCTACCCCCAAAATAAGCCCTAGTTTTGGGGTGAGGCGCACAGCTAAAAATCAAGCTAGGGCAGGGATGGGGGGGTTGGAGTTTACCATTACAGCCAGGCCTCCCATGGATCGACACCTGCATCGCCGGAAGGAGCAGCTTTCTTCTGCAGCTGAGAATGGAGCTCGGCCTGCATTTCGCAGGCAGAGACTTTTCCGGAAGGCCTGTGCAGCCCAGAACCAAGCTATCCATAGTTCGGTTCTGGCTGTACAGGCCTTCCGGAAAGGCCTCTCACTGCGAAATGGAGGCCGAGCTCCATTCTCAGCTGCAGAAGCAAGTTGCTCCTTTGGCTGCAGAAGAAGTGAGCCCGCTGGGCAGCGCTGTTGGTGCCATTGCTGCAAGGTAAGTGGAAAAGACAACCTCTCCCCCCGAAAATATAGACCTGCTACTTCTTTTGGAAGTAACCCCCCCAAAAAAAATAAGACCGGGTCTTATTTTCAGGGCAATATGGTATGTATTACAGTTGGCCATTTTTCTTAAGACAATTCATCATTGGTTCTCTACAAAGATTGTGCATGAAAGCATATCAACCACACATACATACACACGCCACAGATGCGTTTATCCCACTCTATTAGTCAAATTCTTAAGAAGGTATATGTAGAATTTTCATTTTATTTGTTTGCCAAATTTAGACACTACCCATCTCACTCACAGAGTAACTCCGGGCGATGTACACTTAAAATCATACAGCTTAAATGCCATTTAAAAATACAATGCATCAATAAGAGTAGCAATCTCCCACCCCCAAGAGTTCACAGCAATAATGCAATACATTTTGAATAGTAAAGATTTTCTCACCTCAACTGGAACAGCTGCAGTGGGAACATGTGTATACTGGGGAATATAAGCTCCTTGCATAGCTGTTGTGGCAGGCATGTACTACAAAATAGGCAGATAATATATTCAGCTCAATACTGCACATTCAAGCATATTATCATCTGACATATAAGACCCAATAAATATTATGTGCACCATGACTTGCTTGGAAGAGTTCTCTTTTGTTTTTGTTTAGCCATGATTCATAAATCATAGTTAGAATGGCAAACCCTGATTAACGTAGGTTTAAATTTAGTAATTCCAAGCAAAACACAGTGTATTTGAAAGTAGATACAGCTGTCATCCGACTGTGTGATGGAGAGGATGGAGTAATGTAGAAACTAAAACTTGTTATAACTTATTTAGATAAACTATGATGAACTTAGCCAATGAAGATATTTATTTATTCATTAAGAAAATTTATATGGCCACCCAATTCATTCACAATGATTTATAGGCAGCTTACAGAGCCATGGTGGTGCAGTGTTTAGAATGCAGTATTGCAGGCTAATTCTGCTGACTGCTGATTGCCAGCAGTTTGGCAGTTCAATTCTCACCAGTTCAAGGTTGAGTCAGTCTTCCACCATTCTGATGTTGGTAAAATGAGGACCCAGATTGTTGGGGGCAATATGCTGACTCTGTAAACTGCTTAGAGAGGGCTGTGAAGCACTGTGAAGCAGTATATAAGTCTAAGAACTATTGCTATTATAGAAAGAATGCATGCTCTCAGATTATTAACAAATACAGGTATTCCTCGACTTACAACAGCTTGTTTAGTAACCGTTCAAAGTTACAACAGCACTAGAAATGTGATTTATGACCGGTTTTTATAGTTATGACCTTTGCAGCAGCCCCATGACCATGTGATCAAAATTCAGATGTTTGGCAACTGGTTCATATTTATGACCTGTTGTATCCCAGGGTCATGTGATCATCTTTTGTGACCTTCTGACAAGCAAAGTCAATGGGGAGGCCCCATCAGTAACCCTGTTACTAACTTATCCACGACAGTGATTCACTTAACAGCTGTGGCAAGAAAAGTCGTACAATGGGGCAAAACTCACGGAACAAATGTCTCACTTAATAACAGAAATTTTGGGCTCAATTGTAGTATAAGTTGAGGATTACCTGTAAAAGCCTGTTTTTACGTTTTTTGCTTTAACATCTTGAGGAAATAAATCAAGTGTTTCCAAAATCATTTTAACCAAATCACTGGCGACTCTGTGTCTTCTATTTTTTCTTTGTAAGACATTTCATCCAACAATGCCAGTTCTCGTTGGCAGATAAGAGATGAATAGCTCATAGTAGATTCAAGAACTCATTCACAATGTATGCTGATACCACTGCTATCAAGCCGTAAGATCATGTATTTTTGAGAAATACGAGAAGAAAAGCAGCTACATTCACCCTTCAAATCTGCTAATGTTCATGTTCCTCTCTCGAAAAAATGACAAAGGTAAGCTTTAGGAATTTTATGAACGGACAGGGTTTCTAGTGGATGCATTCATACTAGGTAGTGAACATGCCATAGAAGAGATAGTAACTTTTACAGTGGTTACTAATGGAGCTTATTGGAAGGCTACGTACTGTTCCAGTGCTGCCCAATGAAAGGTGGCTCATCTGTTGGGTCAGGGGACTTATCATTGACGCTGGCTGCAAAGACATGGTGTGCTCCATGGAAGGAGTTAATACAGCACCCTACCAGAATGAAAGAGACAGGATTCAAACATTTCCTCATGTGGATTTTTCTTTCTTTTCTAGCAAAGTAAGACGTTTTTATAGAAAACAAAAGGTTTGGGTCAAGACTTTTTTCAGTACGATCCATTCTGACCTCGGCCAGTCATTCTCTTTCAGCCCAACTCACCTCACAGGGTTGTCATTGTGGGGAAAATAGGGGAAGCAGGATGTTTTGGATATGTTCGTTGCCTTGAATTATTTGCTTAAATAATAAAAGCAGGATACAAACAAGCAAACAAACAAGTTTAAGATCTTTATTAAAACAGCACACTGGTTTTTGAAGTGAATGGTTGAGAAAACATATGCTGGAAGACGAACATTATGAAATTCATATAATTATGAGATTATTGTTCGTTGCAAGATTATCACAATTTAAGGCACTAAATATGTGGGATTCTACTGAATGCTACATAAGCGGGAATCTTCCATTTCCTCAGCCACAGGAAAAGGTCACCTTCATGGTATTTTCTGAGGGTTTTCTAACCCCTATAAAGGACCATTTTTTCTAGATAAAACATAGCATACATGGATCTTGTTACTGCAATAATTAGGAATTCTATTTTTTGCACAAACTCCAGTTATCCCCCCTACTTAAACAAAAAACAAAATGGATGTTATGGTCACTAGCTCCATTCACTTTTGTAGCTCTCGATGAAAATGTTTTGGGAAACCTTTGGCTGTCCAGCATAGAATTGGAAGGGACCATTTAAGCCAGTAAGTCTAACTCTTTGCAGCATGCAGGAAACAAGACGCTGGATTAAACGGACTTTTAGACTAATCCGGTATGGCTATTTTATTCGATAAGTAAGAATATTTCTGGTAAAGTTATTTTAGCAGGGCAATTAGTGAAGTATTTATAATGGTCTCCATGTACAGATATCATCCAGCCCCAAATATAGACTGCAAGTTTCTCTAAACTAAATTCAGTGGGAGAAGTGAGCACAATGCATTTCCTAAGCTTCAGAAGTGATAGATCTAGGATTTCCTGTCAGGAACTGTGTATCTAAAGATATGGGCACACATGTGTATACACACACCTATGTGTGTATGTATTTATAGCTATCCCCAAATTAATGCCTTTCAGATATATGATAACCCAAGACAAACCACCCTAGTATCTTCCAGGAGGTATACAGGACTCATAGGTTCTCATCCCAATTTTACAGCTTTCCATCTTTGCTTCCCATTACAGCTGTTCCAACAGAGGTGGATAGAATTGATCCATCAGTTTTTTAGATTAGGGGGCTTAAGGATAAGATGAAATGATTATTTTTTATCAATAGCAATGGATTGTACAATGTTATATTAGTTCAATGCCTGACTCCCAGCATCTCTTGGTGGTCGTTTAGTGTATACAGTAGATTGTGCCTGCTATAGAATATAGCTATATGGGTTTATATAGTCCGGCTCTGACTATATAAACCCATAAAAATGGGAACGAAATCATTTCCTCCCCATTCCCATTCCAAGAGCAGTCAGAGCAACATTAAGAGAAACAGTGCATGCTTACAGGATGCTGCATTATATATGGTTGAGGCTGCATCCAGGAGGGACTCTGCACCTGGAAAATAAAACAAAATCCATTTTTAATAAATTTGTATTAATGATGAATAGCTTATAGAACATTCAGTGTATCTTCAACCAGCCTCCAATAATGTTAAGTTCATAAATATTGTTGGATGACAGCTATCATCCTGAGTTTGCATTGGACTTGACCATCCTCTGAAGACTCAAGGTTGAGAAGTGGGCTTATATGTTGACTTATATGTTGGCTGCAAGAAGTGAAAATTCCAGTGCCAATATAGGACAACCCGGTAGACTGTGTTAATTCACATTAACCTTCACTTAGAAGACACCATAATCCTCTCTACCCAACATGTATTAGTGCAGTACCTTCAAATGCTACAAGCAGATGATAAATGATTAAGATGTAAACAATTCCTCCCTTTTTTAAGTAGAAGTAGAAAGCTGAATACCAGCAATCCCGATCTGACAGTGCAAGACTACAGGATGTGATCTCCTCAGCAGAGTTTTCACAGACACCAAGCTGAGGGAGGGGTCTGACTAAGCGGCAACATCTGTTTCCTTTTTCTCAGACCAACCGGGATTTACAGTAGAGGAGGTTGTCTGTTGAGCTTTAGCGTTCTCCAACTCTGACTGCACTTAACTTTAAAAGTTCGTTGTAAATATAGACTATATTTTGCTTTTATTTGGGATGAATACTCTGGATAAAAGGAATAGTTAATAGAGCTTAACCAGACCAAGATAGAACTGGAGGAAAGTATACCTTGGCTCTGATAAGGATCATCTGGACATTTTGAGGGAAAAAAAATCTTGAGACATTTCTACCTAAAATAAATGTGCTGCCTATGAATGTCTTAATTCTGTAATAACTGCTAGGTGTTAATACCTTCACTTTCTTTTTCAAACAGTGAACTATAAAACAGCACACTGAAAGATTCAGAATGGCAAGTTCCACAGGTTCATATCCTGTTTGGATAAGCATGGGTACAAATTACATTGGCCTTCATGAACAAGTTGCCCATACACAGAGTAGTGTATGCACGCATAACTAGCTTCGAGTATAGTTTTGAATCAGAGAAAACCAGAGCCATTTATCTACATCACTTGCTCAAAAGCTCCATCTGGAGGAGAACTCAGAAGTAGCAGCCAGTGAAGTCTGCAAAAGCTATTAAACCCTTCAGTAGAATGTGGGATTGATTTCCCAGGGCCTTCCTGTCTGGACGAGCCTTCCTCCCAAGCATCCTGGGCATTTGCCAATCCCTACCCTGAGCAGAGCCACGGGACTGGGCAGGGATCCCACATTGGCTGAATACAGTTCTTTTGCCCTTAACCAAGCCAATTTCACTACCTGAAGGCAAGAGGAAAAGGCAGCAATTCTCAGTAACACTGTTTTTGTTTTCCTCTTTCCTTCCCTCTTCTAAGCCATTGAAGCTAGCACGGTCTCTGGAGTCTAGTGTTACACAGCCTTCCCAAGAGAGATGTGGGGTTAAAGAAAGTGTGAGATTGCTCACTTTCTTCTTCAGTCTTGAAGAAGGTTCATTGGGTTTATCTCCCAATGGTTCATTGGGTTTATCTCCAAATGTTTTGTGAGATCATGCTCTAAACAGAAAGGAAGTAAACAGGAAATCTACTTGAAATCTTACAAAATAATCTATAAACACTCCAGGGATCTTTCCTGTAACATATACTAATATACAATTTTAGGGAGATTCTTTACTCTTCTAGTGAGTAAGGAAGCTTTTTGAATACAGGCCTGTTCTTTTTCAGCAAATCTGATAAACAATCTGAGGTTTTCATGGTTCCCTCAAACATAATATATTATCTCTATTTCAGCAATATTTAAGCAACAGAAGCTTTTATGTCCCCCTGCTGTACTTACCAATTCCTATTCAACAGGAAACCAAGGAGTGGTTTACTCAGAAATACATTAAAACTATTGACTGCAGTCCTGCATTATCTTTGGTGTTGTACACTAGCTTTTCTTAACCTGTTTGCTTTCCAAATGGATAGTCCTTAATTTCTGGACCTCTTATCAATGGGCTTTGAGGGAATCTGAAAGCTGAGGGCTCCTCATCTAGATATGCCCAGATTTGGTAAGGCTTTTCAATATGCATAATACAAATGAGCCACTTACAAAGAAAACATAATTTTATTGTTAATTCTGTTAATCTTGAAATACACACCTGGTATGTAGAAACTGGAGAAGCTATATATGGCGTGATAGATGTTTGAGTGATCATTCTGTTTGCTGCAATACTGTATGGTGAGGGGTAAAATCTAGAAAATACACATACCTTCATTATTATCTTTTAAAAATATACAGGAAAATCAAATGCATTTATTAAGTGCTTTATTTACATACCCATTTTGTAAAGCAGCTGTAGTTGGATCGTAAGTGAGTGTCATCCCAGCCTTTAGGAAAAGGAGCAATTAATCATCAATAAACAGTGGTTACTAACCCAATCGAAACATTACACTAGCCCATCTGTTTGAATTAATTAAAAAAAAAGGATACAATGACAGCAAAGCACAGTATTTCAAGAAATAATTTTTATCATAATTGATATACAAAGTGAAGTCTTTAGGAGTTCCAATACTTATTCAATGAAATACAGAGCTCCAATCAAAATATATTTTCTAACTCAGCTTTGGCACTCAGCTGCATATCCCCCAATGAGAATGTTTGCAATGCACCATTCAGTGCCCTGACTTTCCCCAAGCATGCTTTGAAAGCCCATACAAATCTCAGCTACTATATATTTACCGAACTTTTCAGGATATGCTGACTCATGATAGAAATGTGCTCATATAACCATGTGCCAGAATGTAGCTGAGCTGTTAAACCACACAATATGCACTGCACATGTGGCTAGGAAAGAGAGGGTATTTTCAAGAATAGCAATAATTGGAGCTCCTTCCCTTGAGAGGCACCAACTCACTAAACTACTAAGAGCCATCAAATGTTTGATGAAACTTTGGAGGTGTGTCAATGCCCCTTGCTTTTCTGACATGACTTGGAAGGCTATTCTGGTTCATAGTGCTGTGATTAGGTTACGGTTTGATTTGATTAAAGATATTTAATTGCCATTTCCTCCCTTTGCTGACGTGCAATTTTGATTATATTGCATTTTGTTTATTGTTCTTATTGATTCGACTCTTAGTCACAAAGCAGTAAATGGTTTTCAACAAAATTAAAATATTCCTAAAAAGGGATTGCATGTTTATGATTTTAATTTCAATGTTTATATTATCAAGAAGGCAAATAGCACAGAATTGTAAAAACCTATTGCATAATATAGAGGAATGACAAAACAGGGTACTATTAATTACTTTCTTAAATCTACACACACATAAACTTTAAAAGGTTGAAATGAGAACTTACAAGTCTCACCTCGCCTTCTCTGTGCCATGCTCTTCCATTTTGTATATATTTGTTCTGATTCTGTCTCTTTTTTTGTCCTCCATCCGCAAACTTGCACAACAAAGGTTCTGTAGGAGCTAAACAAAATCCTTTAGGATCAATTTGATGTACTAGTCTCTGGGATTGCAAAATGATATATTTTCTTCCCACCATTTGAAAAGGTCTTACTGCCATCTGATTTAGCTTAATTATCTAGATCAGCAATCTAGTATACAAAAATATGTGCAGATTACTGAAGTAATAGGACTATTATCTTTACATTCAGCCCAGTTAGTAAGACGAATATAGAGTAACAGGTAGTTCTTGATTTGCAACTTTATAACTGATCCTGGAATTATGGCCTAAGTGGCTGTGGTCATTAAGTTGAGGCACTTAAGTAAACAGAAATAATTTTCTGGCCTCTTTCATAACAGTTGTTAAATGAACACAATGGTCATTAAGTGAATGTATTCGTTTGAATGGGCAGAAACCAGCGAAAAACATAGCGAATCATGGTCATGAGACTGCAGATCATGGCTTATTGTAAAGTTGACCCATTCCACATGCATTCATGTGACCGCGGGGGAGTGGGAGACCATTTATGATGGCTAGGGTGCTTTGAACTATGGTACTGGAGAAGACTCCTGCGAGTCCCCTGGACTGCAAGGAGATCAAACCAGTCAGTCCTAGGAGATCAACCCTGACTGCTCTTTAGAAGGCCAGATCCTGAAGTTGAAACTCAAGTACTTTGGCCACCTAATGAGAAGGAAGGACTCACTGGAGAAGAGCCTAATGCTGGGAAAGATTGAGGGCAATAGAAGAAGGAGACGACAGAGAATGAGATGGCTGGATGGATGGAGTCACTGAAGCAGTAGATGTGAGCTTAAATGGACTCCAGAAGATGGTAGAGAACAGGAAGGCCTGGAGGAACGTTGTCCATGGGGTCACGATGGCTCAGACACGACTTTGTAACTAACAACAATAGGGTGCTCTAAAGCCCCTTTTTTGGCTGTCGTAACTTCAAAATCATAAAACAGTCATTAAAAACCCAGCCATTAAGCGAGGACTATCTGTAGGAAAACGCTCATTTCAACTCAGTACATTTTCAACTACTGATTTTCGCCTCTCTGTATACTGTATATTTTTTATATTATATAAAGGTAGACATACAGATACACCAATGGAGGATTTATTCACTGGCACAGAGAAATACTTTAGTTCAGTGGCTCTCAACTGTGATCCGCGGACTGCTGGGGGGGCTTCAATGTCATCACAGGGGGTCCACGAAGGCTTGAAGAAATGTTATGATTTAATTCTAGAGTTAAGTCTTGATGGTCTGTGGCCACAAAAGGTATTTAAAGGGATGGTGGTGAAGAATGCATTCATATTAGAATTTTTCTCATTCGTTTTAAAGCAGGACCCTTTAAGACTGGATTCTTCTATCTTTATATACAGATAGAAACTTTTCTAGCGTTTATGAAACTACCCTTTTGAAAACAGGCATATGTGCACAGATACACAGACAAAAAGAGGCTGTTTGTGGAATCTGGATTCAGCATGTATAAGTCTTTAATATTTACTCTAGTAAAGTCTCACTGAATTCAGCAGCTCCTATTGCAGTGGTCCTCAACCTTTAGGGCTTGGTGGCCCGACCCGGGGGGGGGGGAGAGAGGAAAAAGGCCATGCAAGCTTGTGCGGCTCAGATCTGAATGGCCAGGTAGTGGACCGCAGCATGGGGGTTGGGGACTCCTATCCTATTGCTCTCTATGTATTCACAGGATATTTCTATGCTGAAACTGGATCTTTTTAGTGCACTTTTTCTGTTTTATTCTTCTTGCAAAAAGTCATTTTAATCAACCCGCATTACATCCCAATGAATTCAGCAGTTCTTACTCCAAAGAAAGTATGTTTATAACTTCTAGTCCTGCTTAGTCACCATGTTCCTTTCATTCCCCTCTAAATAGAGATGATACACTGTAGAGCAGACATGTCAAACCCGCGACGTCGCGTGACGTATCAGAGCTTTTCCCCCCTTGCCGGCAATGGGGCGGGCGCGGTTTCCTGGTGACGCGTCCGGCCTACGGGCCGGCAGTTGGACACCCCTGCTGTAGAGCTTCCCTATTCATGGAGATTCTGCACCAGCTGAGGTACAGTGAGTCCCTGACTTACATCCACAACTGAGCCCAACATCTATGCTGCTAAGCAAGGTAGTTGTCAAGTGAACAGCGCCCCGTTTTCTAACCTTTTTCGCCACAGTTGTTAAGCGAATCACTGCAGTTGTTACATGGTCATTAAGCAAATCCAGCTTCCCCATTGACTTTGCTTGTCAGAAGCTCGCAAAAGGTGGGGTCACGTGACGGGACATTGCAACTATCATAAATACATGCCAGTTGCCAAGTGCCCCAATTTTGATTGCGTGACTTACAGGGATGCCACAATGGTCGTAAGTGTGAAAAACAGTCATGAGTCACTTTTTTCAGTGCCCTTGTAAATTTCAAACAATCCCTAAATGAACTACCTGCTTCTGATTTTCCATCATCCTCATCTGTATGGAGAATCTTAATGGATAGAGGATGCTCTGCAGCTTCAAATGCTCAAACATTCACAGTCTACAGCATTTCTTATCCAATAGTATCTTCCTCCATTACACTAATAAATTCTTCCATCCCACATTTTACTTTAAATTTATTTGGAGGAAACCCCTTCCCTTTCTTTTGAAAAAAAAAATGTTAATAAGGTACAGCTATGCACTGAAAGCTGTTTACATAGCTGTTCTGTTGGATTATATATCCGAAATTAAAATGATGACATTATGAAGCCCTTCTATGACACATAATGCCTGTTTTGGCACATATCTAATATTTTTGTCATCCAAGAGAATCTTGCAGAATTAACTGTGAGCATGCAACAGTATAAGCAAGTTTTGCAGATCTTAATTCTATTTGTGTTCTCTAACAGCTTAAACAACCTCAAGGAGATCCAGCTGTATTCAACTATTCTCACCTAGAATACAGTGTTCTAGTTTGAATGCAAATCCATCCATCCATCCATCCTTTTCTGCCTTTTAAATTAGAATTACAAAGACAACAATGGATGGAAACTAATCAAAGAGAGATCCAACCTATAACTAAGAAGAAATTTCCTGACAGTGAGAACAATTAGACAGTGGAACAAACTGTGGGTGCTCCATCACTGAAGGCTTTTAAAAAGAGACTGGTTAGTCACCTTCTGTAATGGTATAGGGCAGGGGTAGGGAACCTTGGCTCTTTTATGACTTGTGGATTTCAACTGCCAGAATTCCTGAGTCAGCATGGCTGGTAACAGGTAACATGTTTACTATAAACTGAAGTTTTTATCTTACTTCATAAACATAGTCAATGGCTAGGGATTCTAAGAAATTCTATTATAAAATATCTAGTGAGTGGAAGAAGGTTGCTTTAAGCTCTGAAAGTCTGAATCTTGATAATGCTTTAATTTTTAAATGCTTTAATTTTACTTCTGTATGGGAAGAGATAGAATGATGAATGAATACCTGAAAATAGTCTGCAAATCAAATTTGAACTGTAAAATTCATGTTAAGAGGAATGTATCAGCTACAAACAGCAGCTACAAACATGATGGGTGGAAGCTGGCAGATACAAAAAAAGGTCCTTTTTGGCAGTGACACTATATATATGGAATTTCTTTCCCCCAGGAGAGGCAATTAGCTTTCTTCCTGTTGACTTTTACGTGGGCTTTTAGTGGCTCCATTTTTCTTCAGATTTTATCATAGAATGGCTGACTGAACAGAACTATTTTGACTAAAACACAGCTGTTCCTCCCTTTCCTTGTAATACATTTAATGACTCTGTAGAAGCACTACTATAAAGTCAGTTAATATTTTCAGCTAATAATAATTTTTCTGCTTCACTGATTTTCAGCAAACAACATTCCATAGACTATATAAAACCCTGTCTCGAAATGTAATATGAATTATATAAACCATAAGCTTAAAAATTCTGGGATGTCTGGTCATTCCAACCACTCCAGCTGCCATTTTGTATTAAACAATGTAGTCACTTGCATTTCATGTAGTGCTTTGAATTGAATGCTCTTTATAATGATACGTTGTAGAGGAAATCATTTCTTTAGTATACATTTCTATAGTGAACAATGCTAAAATTGTTCTAAACAATTGTTTTGTTGTTTGTGATTTCTCCATTATCTGCGAGTTCTGGTAATTTATCAATTTTCAGGAAAATTGGTCTGTTGTTTTTATAGAATATAAAGAGAGTAATGGATTAGACTGAATTACACTCAGATTACATTACTTGGGCTAGATACTCAGAAGTATGTTCTCAGTCAGTTTCCTTACTAACACTTATTTAACTCTCATTTCCAGTAAAAAACATGGACACAAACTTTTTAACAGAAAGATAATTTAGCAAGAAATATAATTTTAGCAAACAAATTAGGCTGAAAATTATTTTATCATGACAGTGGTCTGTAACCACTTTCAATGGGTTCAGAAGTCTAGTAACATAATCAGAAAAAAATGAATTCCTCCTGCCCAGATTTTCAACTGTACATTATTAAACCATATTATGTTGTTTGATTAAGGTAATCCTCAAGATAGGACCATATGTATAGTCACATGTTGCAACAGCTGTTAAATGAATGACCCCATCCCTACTTTCCCCAATGAACTGTTAAATGAACATGCAGGTTGTTAAGCAGAGCATGGAGTACCTCAGGGGTGGGAGAGGCCCCTGGAGGCACAGCCATAGCCTTCCCTCTCACTATATGAAACTGGCTTCCTAGACAAAACTGGGTAGATCGAACTGGACTGATTTGTCTTTTTCAAATAGTATTTTAAAAGCAGTCTTGCATATTACAGCAAATGTGGGGTATTTATCATCTCCAGATTGAAATGAAATCTCCCAGGAACAGATGAGGAAATGGAAATCCTCCTCCTCCTCTTCTTCTTCTTCCTTCTCCTCCATCATCATTATCATCATCATGATGCAGAGGTTAAAGTGCGGTAGGGCAGGCAAACTCTGCCCACAGCCTGGAGTTCGATCCTGATGGGTCTCAAGACTGAGTCAGGCTTCCATCCCTC